GCTCTCGAGCACAGTGCTGGATCAAGATTTGGCTCAGTGTTTAGGAGGGGCTGGAGGGATCTTGTTCAGAGAAGGTTTTTTACTTTAATGCAGAGAATGCGTTAAGTAAAAAAAAAAAAAACTTTGAGCCTTTAGGACCACTTTAAAAGAAGCCCTTACTGACCTCTGTAGCAGCAGACACTAGAGAAATTCATCCTCAAAGTTCATATTAGATTGTAGTCGGATTTTTGACAGTTTTATCTCACTCTCTTTGCTCTCTCAGTATTGCCATGACAGCTTCCTAATATAAACAGTGCACTAGCTCTTATTTTCAACCTTTTGACATAAGGAGATGGCTGCATACAAACTAGTAACAATAACCAGATTGTGATGGTCAGAAATCTGTGTTTTTAGAGATTTCCATTGGCATTCTAGAGATTTTGGGGATAAAAACCAAGAGTCTAATCAAATAAAAGGGGACATGTAGTCTAAATCTGGCTTTACAATAGTAGTGTTTCATTTAAAATTTTTCATTTAAAGAATAATTATTCAATTCCCTAACCATTTTGGGATCAAATCTGTTTATTTCCAATCACACTGATGAGAAAATTCGAGCAGGATGGATTTTTTTTCACACACAAAAAAAACTCTAACAGTGTATGTGGTTTTTGTTCAGGAAATTCCAGTCATTCCAAAATTGAATGTTAAAAGCAATCAAAACTTTGAAGTACTTTTGATCGACATTCCGATACAATTATTCTTAAGAATGTTTGTACAAAAGTTTGCTTAAAAATCCTCTAGAATATAAGCAGATTTTGTGTTAGGGTTATATGTTATACTTACCTGCTCTGTGTAATGGTTTTGCACAGAGAGCCCCCCAAACCTCCACTTCTAGGGTCCCCCGCTGCCGTTTTTTCGCTCCTACTTTTTTTTTTGTGTGCCCCCATAGCAACCACACTTATGTGGGCACACAGTGCATGCTCGCTCCCAAGCTGTGTGTGTCTATGCAGCCACCAATGGCTTCTGCTGCTGCTAGAGTCCTGGGTGAAGAGGAGAGAGGAGATGCTACCATGCCTAGCACTGGATCTCTTCTCCCCTTTCTTACACCTCATACAGGGAAGGGGAGGACACACTGCATTAAAACATTTCTTACCTTAATGCAGGAAATGCAGTAAGGTAAGAAATGTTCTGAGGACCAAGGGCGTATTTTATGTTTGTAATTGCCCACTGATTAACTTAAAATGGTTTGAGATTAGTCTGGAAGCCAATTATTTCATGAAATGGTTAGGGCAACTGAAGTTACGGAAATAAAAAAATTGATTCTTTTGGCGTTACTTACGGTCCTCAAAGGGTTAGCTAACATCGGATGTCTGAATTGAAGCATAATGTGACTGCTGTGTTATGAAGCAGATGTGACACTAATGGCTGCCTAATATACCTGAACAGTGACTGTATCTGATAGGGATGCAGTCACTGTTCGACAATTGTGGTGGTGTCAACAGTCTGAATCGTCTGAAATTTGAGCGGTATATGCCAGGTTAAGGTTGTGACTTACTCTTTCCTGCATGGCTTGTGTCCCAAAATCTGCAGCTAAAACTGTTGGCTCTGGGTTCAAGCATAAATCTGGTAACATAGACTTCTGCAAGGCAGCCCATAGATTGGGTTAGGTTTTTTTTTTTGTTCAGCCAGTGGGTTGAATGAAAAAACTGACCAGATTCCCCCATCTTGACACTCGACTTGGGTGCAGGAATCCTCCCTGCTGAGTCTTTGTATTCTGACAGCAGGGAGTTATTAGAATACATTGATCATATAGCCTGCAGTGCTGATCAAGCTGGGAAATCCGAAAAGGCGCTTGTACAGAGGTTGATCTAGATCAGACCTCTGTACAACCACATTTGATACATGGATCAAAATTTATCTGGTCCCTGTGCTGACCTGGACGAATTTTGATCCATGTTTTGCTGGATTAAGCATGCCATGGTGTTGAGGGACATGAGCTGGGATCTTCGTAAAAATCTACTATATTAAGCTGTCATCGATTCACAGTACATGGTAAAGCTCTGCTTCTTGCTTCGTAGTATTGCATAATGTACTTCTTTCAACATCTGTTCCATATGTAAATCTCCCAGGCATGTTTGGTGTAGATAATATATTCTACAATCTATAAAGACTAAAATAACCCAAAAGGCAGAGACCTTGTGATCATTTTCTTGTGCTTTGGGCAGAAGGTCATGTATAATAATAAGAAAGAGTTGTTTTTTTTTTTTTTTTTTTAGACTAATGAATAGGTAATGTGGACATGAGACACCTTGTTTATTGCACTCTGATAAATGAGCCTTCTGCTATAACTAGCACGTGTCCGATATCTCTGCTACAGAACTGAATCTGCAAATTTTACATGGCCACTTTAAGAATATATTTTTTTTTTAAATAACTCTCATTACAGCCTAAGATCTCCTTGCTTTGTGCAACAAATGCATAGCTAGACTCTTCCGTGTAGTGCAGTTTGGCTGGGAAGCTATAGGATACAGACTTCAAAATAGATGACACAAATAGAGATGCATTACCGCAGGGCAACTTCTACAAAAGCAGCTTATAGTGTAATAGGTTTTTTAAGCTGGAAGATAATTCATACAACCCTTGTAGAGACGTGTATATAGATATTTAAAAAAAAAAAAGCTAAAGTATTCCTATTGTGTTTAAGATGTAAGCAAATTTTGTTCATGTTGTAATGTTGAAGCCCCTAGGTTGTTCTGTGATTTTATGGTGTTTGTTTATATGGTAAGGGGTGGTGTTTTTTCCCATTTTTTTGTTTCTATTATCTGTGTTGGATTTATTTGGAGATAATAATTAAAGTAAAATTTTGCTACGTTATAGGGAACATTTTAAAAGTTTTAGTTTTGCCTCAGCAGTACATTGAAAATCAACAATTTTTCTGTAATTCCTCTTAATATGTGAGGGCATCTCCTGGTATGTTAGGGTGCCTACAACCTCATAGCTAGCTGCATATCTGCAGTATGAGATCAAAAGCATTACTGCCTCTGTTAGTCTCAGATTTAAAGGGGGACTTGAAATGTCAATACTGTACTGCTCACTGCTCCCCTTGCTGGAGGCTCTGACATAAAGAAGCAAAAAAACCTGCCTCTAGCAAGAGGCCACCTTGGCCAGAGACACCGCATAGAACAAGGCATGGTAAAAGTAACCATACACTTAGTTTTTCTTTGTTTACTCTACTTCAGCCTGTTGGCTAAACAATCGACTAGGGTCAATTTAGACAGGAGCCAATTAACCTACCAGCATGTGTTGGGAGTGTGGGAGGAAAACTGAGTGCCTGGAGGAAACCCACGCTGGCACAGGGAGAACATGCAAACTCCATGCAGGTAGTGCCGTGGTTGGGATTCAAACCAATAACCCTAGTGCTTCTAGGTTTTGCTATTAAATGGTGCAATTAGCCACTGGTCTGCCCATACCAATAGCAGTTGTTCTTTTTTCAGCAACGTTTCATGTTGGAAACGGCCACTATTTAAGATCTCACATGTGCTGCAGGTGGATTTGTGTCAGGGTAAAGCCAGTGACTTTTTGAGGAAACTTTAGGTCTCTTTCACACTATATGCATTTTTGTACATTTTTTTTCTGCATAGGTCAGCCCATTCATTTTAATTGGGCTGCCCTATGCATGACAAGTGCGGCAAACTGGCTCATGCATTTTAACAAACATTTAACCATGCTTTTTTTTTTTTTTTTTTTTTTTTTTGAAAACACGCCTACTGCATTTGGGCTGCAGTTACCACTGAATAGCAAGTGCATGACATGTTTTTTGCCTGTTTTGTAAATGTATATCATTTCACGAACATGCACAAATTCTCATGATTTTACAAACGTCGCAAAGTGCAATCTTGTGAGGCCTTAAAACTACATTGCAGTGTTTAGCAGCCAGTGCAGACGACATACTGGGGTTTATTTACTAAAGCTGGAGAGTCCAATATCAGACTCCCTTCTGCATAGAAACCAATCAGCTATTAACCTCAGCTTGTTCAATGAAGCTTTGGCAAATGAAACCTGGAAGCTGATTGGTTTCCATGCAGAAGTGAGTCTTATTTTGCACTCTCAGCTTTAGTAAATAAACCCCACTGAGTCTGTAATTATTTTCTTATATCTGCATATGTAATCGAAAAATGAATGAAGTTTAGCTGCTTGTGTTTGCATTTGTGTTAGAACCCAGTAGCAAGCTCCATAGATTGTGATGTTTGATATAAATATGTCTCTTAAGTGGGGCTTTACATATTTGTGCATATACTGGTTCCCCTGTGACCCAGAGTCAGCTGATAGCGGGCTGTTGCCCATCAGCTGATGGGGCAGTGCCATGCAAAGTTCTATAAGGATCCCAACAATACTGTTGGGATCCATCCAACTACCTGATTGACTACTGGCTCCGCCTTTTCATGGTGCGCCTGAGTCAGCCACACCTGCCCCCTTCCGAGCCTGATTCTACACCGAGTGCTGGAAGCATTGACTTGCAGTCACTGTTCTCTGCTGTGAGCAGAACGAGAGCTCATTGATCCGCAGTCATGTGATCAATCGATTTTTGGTCTTAGAGCCAGCTTGGGACAACTGGACTGTCAGACAGATGCTGTAGCATGGAGGGGAGTATGTGTTATTGTCCTTTTTTATTATGTACCCCATAATTTTCTTTTAACATATTTATGTATTTTGTAGCAGAGTCTCAGATAGGTCAATTGTTTTTTGTTTTGCGTTTTTTTCACAGGGGTGTGCCTGTATTCCTTGTCTCTAATGGACAAAGTGTTGCCACCCTTCTTTCTGGCTCTGCAGGTTGGCAGTGTGTAAATCACAAATTTGGATGTCTAGAATAATAAATATATTGGCAGGTAAAATTATTCCTAGGCATGCAATTTGCTATTTAGTCTGAGATCTGGTTAAATATGCTCTGCTTCAGAAATGTTGTCCCTCAATCTCCTAGTGATTAAAAATTGTGCTAACTCTGTACATCATCTTCTCCACAGTGGCAGCATGGAGCCCGCGTTCCACAGGGGAGACTTGCTTTTCTTGACCAATCGTGTGGATGATCCTATTCGAGTGGGTGAAATAGTGGTATTCAGAATAGAAGGAAGAGAGATACCGATTGTACATCGTGTTCTGAAAATTCATGAAAAGTGAGTGCCTGCTTAAGTTGATGAAATCTGAGTAGTCAATTTTAAAAATGATCCGGTCTTGAACTTGAAACATTTTCTAAGGTGTCAATCTTACTGAAGTGCAGGTATTATGTTGAGCCTACTAGTACCTATGTTAGTCTTTAGACAGATCCCCGTGGAGCCCCAGTGTGGCCATTTGTGCAATTTAGCTAATGTTCACTGACAGCACATGCGAGTCAACGTTTCCTTCCCTTGTGAAAGCAAAGAAACAGCATGCTCAAAGATTTTTTCACAATTTGGTAAATAGCACTTTGGAATAATGATGGGAATGCCTTCACACACCTGTCTTAACCCTTCCCAGACCTAATCCGTACCTGTCCAAATTGGGCAATGTACAGCCAGGCTTTATTTGGTGAATAAACCAGGGCCTTCTATAAGGAAGGACTGTATTTTGTTACATCCTTGTACTGCATCATATATTGCATTTATAATAATAGATATTTCTGATTAAGGGAAAATGGAGACATCAAATTTCTGACAAAGGGAGACAACAATGCCGTGGATGATCGAGGGTTGTACAAGCAGGGACAGAACTGGCTGGAGAAGAAGGATGTGGTGGGAAGGGCAAGAGGGTAAGTTTATAAACTGTCAGCAGTGCTTTATAAAATTATGCCTTGAACTGGAAGGGGTACAGCATTTCCACGTAAGGTGTATTCCATCAAACCTATTGGCAAATGGGATAAAAATAAATTTGATGTACATTTGCTGTTAATACAGAAAACTTATATAAGCAATAACCGTATAAAGTGTGTTACTATGTCAATTTTTTTGTGCATGACTTGTTCTAGTAGTCCGAAGTAGGAGTGTTTTAGTTTTTAAAGTGTGACAACCTATTTTTGTTGAGCACAAAAAAAAAATACTCCAAGGATTTTATATACATGAAAGCAGTTAAGCCATCTTCGTTGCAGAGTTTGAGATTCTGTCAATCAGTCATTCCTATAACCACAAAATTACATTTGAGGGCAGTCTGCATAAACGGCATTCTTGGCGCATTCAGTGTTGCCATGTTCTCAAGGATTCAGCATTCTATAAACTCATAGATAATGTCCCTTTTTCTACTCTAAAGATTATAATACACATCTTTTATAGTTACAAAATAAATAATTGCCTAAGCATGAAAATCTCTATCCCTCAACTTTGAGGATGTTAGTGTCACTAAACCCAAGACCCTGCATTCACTGTATCCAGTCTTCCACAGTGCATGGAAATGCAATTATTTTAGTAAATGCAAACTGCTAAATACATTTTTCCATCAGCAGTTAGAGCAGTCATGTGACTTCTATGAGTGTCCAGAAGAGCACTGGTTAAAGCGTGTAGAAGGAGTTTTCATCCTCCCCGATTGTCCTATGAGGCTGCAGGACCCCTGACACTGTATAATGCTGATTGGCCTGGTGCTGATCACATGCATTCACAGAAAAAAAAAAAAAACTCCTGAGCAATACACAGATAACTAAGCATTTTCAGCTTGCCCCCCAAGGTTCTGTTCTATCAGGAAATGGATTAGGGACAGTAAAAGAAGGGGAGGATCAGAGAAGACAGGATCAAACATCCTTTTCACACAATGCAGAGGATTAACCCATTGGGTTCCACAGTGAGTATAACAAGCTGCTTTACTGCATATACAGACTGATTTTACTGTTGTGGGTTTAGTAACACTTTAAGTGCAGTTACAATTTAGGGGCCTCTGTGGTCCCCTTCCCTACTTTCTTCCTTGTCTAACAGTCCTTTCCTTCTCACCCCTAAACCTTTTTTTTACCCAGATGTCAACAGCGGCATTTTAAAAAAAATCAAAAGCATTCAAAATCGCCGACATTGGTATTTTGAATGCTTTTAAGCGAGGGATTTGGGGTCTTATACAACCCAGATCCCTCCATAAAGAGTACCTGTCTTGTGCATTTACTGTCACAAGGTATGCTTACATTCCTTGTGACAGCAATAAAAATGATTGTTTTGAAAAGCTGGTGCAGGTAAAGCACCCTTTCAACTGGTTGAATATTTGTAGAAGCCAGGAAGCAACAAAAAGGCGGTATTTTATCACACTGGAAGCTGGAAAGGTACGAGCAGATAATTTTTTAGCCGGTATGTTGTATAGAAGTCACCCTGTCTTGACATGGTTGCTGGCCTCATGCACACAGGGCGTATTTGCAGCCACTTTTAGGGGCATTGGATGTTCTTTTTTTACTGCTTCCAAATGCCCCTCCATGTTATCCTATGTGTCTATGCACACAGAGACTTTTAAAAGGTTTTAGTGACGGGAAAAAAAAAAAAAACACTGCCAGTGCATCCAGGAGCAGCAGAGTTTGGGCAGAAAAATACTTTACGCTACCTAAAGTTGCTGAAAGCTAGACACATTTAGCACTTCAGCATTAATTCATTTCCATGGCCAGAATTAACAATTTTTTCTGGCCAATAAAATGATTTAATGCCCAAGAGTTTGACACCTGTAAAAGATTGTAACAGCTTTAGACACTTAAAAGCGTCAGGAATGTTTTCTGCAAAAATGCTGCTGGCTTCTAGAAGAGTTGAATAAACGTCCTGTGTGCATGACGCCTAACAGCTAATATTTGTCTACTTAAAGCAGAGAAAACTACTGATATACAAATGATGTAATCTGCTTTGTTAGCTGACAATACAACCCTATCGCGATAAAATAAATGCTGGGGATTTTTTTTTTCAGTTTTTAAATTAGTTCTATAAAAGCAAAAATGCACTACTAATACTAATACATCAGTATTTAGGAACAGCTAAACATAAGGGCCTTACCCTTCCAGTTCCAGTAGAACCACTTGAAAGGTTGCCTTTAAACATTTGGCTGACATGATTCGCAGGATGAATGAACAATTTTAGTTTGCCACAAAAGCAGTGTTTGTGCATACATAGGCTTCACCAAGAGTAGAGGGAGCCATAGACTCCTGCTGCTGTGAATCAAATCCTGTGAGGAGGGAGTATTGGCATGGCCGAGCCACACTGTGTGTCTGGACACCCACAGCCCGATTCAGAAGCGTGCTTGCATGGGTACTCCCATAGCACATAGCTTGCTATGTGGGCACCGGGGAATTGGGGAGGAGTGAAGAGCGCTGGAAGGGGACCACCAAAAGAAGAGGAAATAGACCGCTCTGCAATATCATTGCTGGTACATATATTTTTTATTTTTATTAAAGAATGACTTTAACATTACTTTAAAACTTTAGCTCTTGACTGGTTGGTCCTCTTTCTGAACATGTTCGGTTTGTACAAGCTTTCTTTCCTGTATACCCTGGGGTAAGAATGCTTTAAAGTTACTAAATTCACAACAATAAAATCAGTCTGTATATGCAGTAAAGCATTCTTTTATACTCACTGTGGAACCTAAGGGGTTAATCCTCTGCATTGTGTAAAAAGGCTGTTTTGAGCCTTTCTTCTCTGCCCCTCCTCTTGTTGAAATGACCACCTGATACAGACTGAATCCATAGTCACATGCACGTTCTCAGTTTGGTGTGTATTGCTAGAGAGGTTTTTATTTTTTTGGGGAGAGTGCATGTGATCAGCACAGGGCCAATCAGCACTGTCCAGACAGAGGGTCAGGACTTTCACATCCTAATAGAGCAGAAAGAAAACTCCTACAAGCTTTAACCAGTGCTCTGCTGAAGTCACAAGACCGCTCTAACTGCTGATAAGAAAGGGTATTTAGCAGTTTGTTTACTAAAATAATTGCATTTCCATGTTGTCTGTACTGTGGGAGACCAGATATAGTGAATGTAGGGTCCAGGGTTTAGTAACACTTTAAGCTTTTTCTGCCTAAATGGGTTTTCCCTATTTTACATAGTGGGATTGGTTTACTAAAACTGGAGAGTGCAAAATCGGGTGCAGCTCTGCTTAGGAACCAATCAGCCTGCAGGTTGTTTTTGTCAAAGCTTAATTGAACAAGCTGAAGTTAGAAGCTGATTGGCTACCATACACACTTGCACCAGATTTTGCAATCTCCAGTTTTAGTAAATGAACCCCAGTATATCTGTTAAAATTTCCCCTTGGGGATCTGTGTTTCCTTTGGAACTTGGCCCATTTAACATGTCCTTCTTCGTTACCCATGTTAGTTGGTCTAGTTTTCACCTATGCAGGTAGTATGATGTTCCACTTTTTGGTTGGTTGGCCCTCCACTTCGTTGATTGAGGTCAATGGATCCTTCAGGGAGCACAACGTTGATCCTCTGTGCCTTTTTCTTGGTCATGACGATTTCCATAGCTGGTTAACCCATCTCTATCTGACTTTTTTTCAGGACATTGATGCCTTCAGATACTTTTGTACTCCAATCTATACATCTGTTGGATCTGTTGGTGTCTATTGCTCATCCCTCCAGTTGGACCGCTTTTGGATGGCCCACCTTTGTAAGAATTGCAAACATTTCTGTGTCCCTGAATGGATAATAAAAATAACCCACTAAGATTTCTTTAAAGTTCACGGGGGGACAGAGGGTTAATTCTGAGACAGGAGGATTCCACTGGTGCCTACAGGAGATTGTACACTAACCCTTCTTATCATGCCCTACATTTTTTACAGTGTTTTTTGCAAGCCCTTTCTATTGGACTTTCTGCTTTTATCAAGATCCTTTTTTTTTTTTTTTTTTTTTTTTTTTTTTTTAAATCAAGCAAAATAGCCTGGAGTATGCTTATTTTGCTACTTCTTGGAATCTTCTCTTACTTTCCCAAGTGTGACTTCCCTCCGTGTGTTACCTAGGCAGGAGTTGTTTTCTGCCACCATGTCAGACATCTAGTTAAAATCACTTCTGTGATAGCTAACTCAAAACACAGGGGATGCAAGTGTACTTCTTCTACAGAGTCTCTGATTTGCCTACAGCTGTCTCTGTATGCTCAGCTGAGGAGGAGGAGCGCAACTTAATCTTTTTGGATTAGTTTTGCCTGAGTAGCCTCAGTCTGCTGATATTACTGCTAGGCTTAAAGATACCATTTCAGCCCTTAATGATGGGACACAAGCATCTAGAGCTAGAGCAGCCTACGTCTGAATTTTCTATGTTTACCAGACTGGGATCCCTCAAAAGCCTCCAGCCTTCCAAAACCTTCCCAGTGCACTCGACACTGAAACTTGTATGGTGACTGGCCTAATTCAGATTAGTTACTTACTGCCACCAAGCACTTGCCCAGCAATGATCCATTGAGGAGGAGTTCCTTAAAGTGGTAGTAAACTGTTTCTGTTTTTATCTACAGGCAGGCTTATAATCAAGCTTACCTGTAGGTAAAATATCTTCTAAACCTGCACTGTTTAGGAGATATTCTGCAGAGTAGCAGCCAGTGACATACCCGGCGCATCCGTTCTAAAGCAACAGTACGGGTATGCCGTTCCTTCAGAGTTGTGTGCCATGGCCGAAACTTCTGTATGCGTGCGTGGGAGTGACGTCATTGGCGGCTCAGCCATTCAAGCAGCCGCAGCCTAGGAACCCAGAAAGAACAGGTGAAGATGAAAGCCCTGTCGGTAGTGACCTCATGCCGCTGGAAGGCTTTGTTTTAAGGTTTGTTTCACAACATACAGTATCTCACAGAAGTGAGTACACCCCTCACATTTTTGTAAATATTTTATT